TTCTTGGCTCAAATTTTGAAACCGAGTTATGAATTTTCAAAATCCCTTTATGGTTCACCTTGAATTGATGTGTAGACTCGTTCTTCGACTCCAAAATATGTAGAATAATATTAACTTTATGTCAAATAGAGGTTTTTCACATTTTGGCCGAGTATGGTATTTAAAGAATTCCAAAACAATTGCATTGAATTGTTACCAAAACAAAAATAAGGAACATCGATTTTTTTCATTTTTTGCGACGAGTATGTTATTTAAAGATGCTTGGTTGGTTTGGGACGCATCAGGCACCCCATTTTTTATTGGGGTGCGTGCCTCTCCTAAAGGCGAGAGCGCGCGTCTCACCTAATTTTTGACAGTCGAGCAGCTTTCGGTATTTTTATCATAACTTTCTTTCCCGATATCCGATTGAGGTAATTTATACTACAAAAATAGATAAATTGGAGGGCTACAATTCTTTTGGAATTCTCAATTTTCCAATATGAGCGATGCCAAAATTGGGCTTCAATATGAGGCTAAAAATTTGGAGAATGATTTTTTCAATTGAAAGTGGATGTGTGATAATACTTTGACTATACTTCATCTATTTGACTTCTTTCCTCATCCAATTGACTCCTAGCACTCTCAAATCTTCATTGTGAGGTTTGACGTAACTTTTTGGTATTTTCACTTTAGTCCTTGAGATTTGGGTTTGCTTTATTTCATCCATTTCTCCTTTATCTTTTAGTTGTATCCAATTAAATCCTTGGAATGTTCAATACTCATTGTGTAGCTTGTCTTATCTATGAACTGTTTGCAATTCAGTCCTCAAATTTTGGATCTCGCCCTTTTTCACTAGTTTTGCATTTATTTATCTAATTCTTCATCAAACATTGAGTTTTACTTACAAAATGCAATACAACACAAATTAAGTAGTATTTTATCCACGGAACAGTAAAATGTCATAATTTAGGATGTTGAATAAGTGTAGAAACTACACTTATCAAACCCCCAAACTTGAATCTATACTTGTCCTCAAACAAAATTCAAATTTAACAAACACATAAATACGCAGTGCTAATTTTTTTCCAACGTAAAATCCACACGCGTGTGAAGAATTAAGCATAACATCATGAATTCATAGGTAGTTTCAATTCCCGACCCTCAATGGTCAATTATGTTCTTTCATCACTCGTAAAATTTGCACACCCCCAAACTTATTCTTTTTACTCTTTTCAAGTGTTTGTGACCTAAGGTTGAATTTTATACTATCATCACATCTCTAGTTTAGGTAAATTTCAATAATTGCAAGTCAATATGTCAATAAACTAGGATCCTCCATAGTTTGATTGCTTCAATCTTCAAAACTCAATTAGACTAACAATCATTATCAAAAGTCAAATTTTCTTAAAGAGGTGTTTGAGACTTAACTAAAGCATTCACTTCATCTTCTGTTTCATGTACCTATTTTTCCTATTTTATCTCAATTTTTATTTCCACACTTTTTTTTTCTTTATTTGCAACATTCTTTCCCTTACGCTTTCTAAATGATCTATTTAACGAGCTTTAGGCAGAAGATCGCCAAGTCAGTTGACTTTAGGACGACAGATTTTAACATCCTTACAGGCTTAATATCTTGAATAAAGGCTATAAAGAGAAATTTCAAACAAAATATTTTTTCTATGTCTTAGTTAGTGCAATGTAGGCTTGGACGTGGTTCGATTTGGGTTCGTTTTGACTCCAACTTGAAACCAAGGCCCAATTAATTGATGTTGATGAATTTCAATCTAAGTCAACCCATTCTAGCTCGGTTAGTTGATTTGGACTTTTAGTCCAAATTGAATATTTTTAAAAAATTATCTAAGTTTTGGGTTCACTTAGATTACAAGAATTAAAATAATCAAATAACGTTTTATTAAAAAAACCATTGACTAACAAATAAAATCAGGTTAATAAAGATATATCAACAGAAGACTTAACAGTTTTGTTGTTTTCTATGTATTATGTAGTTTGCATGCTGGGGTAGGGAAAATGTTATGTATAAGGCAATGAGCTGGTGAAAGGAAATTTTCAGTGTTATTACTTATCAACAATGTCATAGATTGGAGGGAATCGAGATATAGTTTTCAGATTAGAGCTAATCTTTTTATTTTTATTTTTGTAAATTAAAAAAAAAAGGTAGACATGTAAGTAAGATGGTTTGGTTCGGTTAACAAATTATGACTGAACTGACCCACCATGACTTTTTTTTAAAATAAAGCCAAACCTAACAAATTAATGTGTTAAACCAACCGAATTGAATTGAGTCTATTCGATTTGATTGGTTTGGTCGATTTTTCGATTTTTTTTCCGAAGTCTAGTACAATGTCCCTCATTAAATACCTGTCCAATTACATCGACCTCTAACTTGAGATTTCTGCCCAATTTCATCATCGTGACCTTAGATAATTCTTACAATATTTTTAACTTCATACATGGAATCCCCATTTATATCAATATCTTCTTACAATGGTGAAATCTCCCTAAAGTACTCTAAATTTGGTCTAAGGATGTAAATTATAGTGGTTATAGTGGTTCTAGGTTTACCATCTATGATCCACTATTTCAACCTATCCAATTATGAAATCAATTCATTTCTACACAATACTTAACTTAATTCACGTGCTCAATATATATCAAACTTCATATGGAAAAGTAAAAATTTAACCTAAGCATGTAAAATATTCACCATTCAAAGATCAACTCATAATTCAATATATTGCTCATTACCAACCATGTCAATTAACTCACACAAGCACACAAAAAGAAAATATTTTTAAAATTTTTAAAATTTCTCTCTTTTTTTATTTTTATAACATCTAAACCAATAAAACACATACAAAAACACACAAAACAAAAGAAAACTCATATTTTTCACCCCCAAATTTCAATTAGACATTGTCCTCAATGTCTTAAATTCTAAGTCCACATATAAAGGGGTAGGAAAGAAAATGAAGAAAATACTATCTTGGTATTGCGCAAAATTCAAGGGCTAGCTTTTTCTATTACTCCCGTTGTCTCCTTGATTAATGTTGGTTTCAGTGTTTCATGACTTCATGTTCCTGTACAATGCAATTAAATAAAGCATTAAGGATCAAAAAAATAAGAAACGTATGTTACTTAGCTCATATATCTAATACGCCAACTAATAACTCAAGGACCTATGAGGAAATGAGAAGTGGATGATGATTCTCTAATAATTAAACAAAAACTACTCAAAATTATCCTAAGTCTAGAAAGCATAATAAATAAAAGTGATAGAAATATTGGGTTGTCTCTCAACAAGGGCTTGTTTAAAATCCTAGGTTTGACTCTTGTTGTTTTTAGACTCTTCATGGTGGCTTGCAAATGAAATATTTAGCTCTACACTTTATGCACTGATTACACTTTCTTCTTTCATATTTCATCCTCCACTTAATCAAGTTTCCAATATAAGGGTTGATTGATTGGATTCCACCTTTGTAGCTTTCCTAATGATCCACTCGTTGACAATCCTCAAAGTATAAGGGTTGATTGATTAGATTCCGCATGGTGAAGCTCTGTTGGTTATCCTCCACCATCGAGACTATCTCATTATCAAAATTCAACAAAACTTGGCTTGTAGACAAGAATGAACTTCCCAGGATTATTGGCATCAGATATGCCTATTTTATGTCTAGAGTAATAAAGTCGGCTGGAAAAATAAATTTTTCGCTTGGTAAGCATGTTTTCGACTATTCCATAAGGGTGTTACAGCGATCTGCCCACCAGTTGAAGGATAATAAAGTCTACCTTAGGATCTTCCAATCCTAATTTTTTGTAAAGAAGGAAAGAAATTAAATTTTTGGCTGCTCCTGAATCAATCAAATAATTTATGTTATGTAAATTTCCTACGAAGCAAGATAAAGTAAAAGCCCTGGATCTTTTAGTTTGTTAGGAATCCTACACTGGATGATCACATTGCATTCTTCAGATAGTGTTATCGTTTCATGTTGAACAACTTTCTCTTCTTAGTCAACATCTTCTTTAAGAAATTAGAGTAGTTTGGGATTTGAAGGATCGCATCAATGAACACAATGTTCACATATAGCTTTTTGAAGACTTCCAGGAATTTTGTGAACTACTTCTCCAATCTGGTATATTTCAGTCTTTGAGGAAATGGAACTGGGTGTAGAGGTGCTTTGATAGGAACTGTTGCATCAACTCATGGACTGTCAAGGGATGCTAACTAATCTTTCTCTGTTGATTCTTCAGAATGCTCTACTTGTTGCTTGCCCTTTATAGATACCTAAGTACCCCTAATCCCGTTCCTTCTTCCTATAATTTTTGGTAGTTGAACCCCACTTCTAGACATGATAACCTAAACCTGAGTAGCCGGGATGAATGAAGATGACTCTTTAGATTCAAAACTCACCGCCTCAACTGCTAGTACCTACTTCCTTAGATTTTTCTTCGTATCGCTAAGCAATGTACTTAGGGTCTGTTAGCTATTGCAGCTGCTATCTATCACACCTGATATTCCAAATTCTTGATAGAAGCCTATTAATTCTAGAAATTGGTCTCAGTCTTTATTATATACTGATATAGCAAATCTTCTAGTGATGGCCTTCACTCTTGCTGATGTTGTTACTGCAGTTCGAATTCTGGTGGTCTATTTTGACAATTTTTCCATTGATTATTAGCACATGATAAGTTTGGCTACATGTTCCACTCTGGATGGTAATTGTTGGGATACTTCTACTGTCTCTAGAAGTTTTGTGCATAGCTGACCTCTGCTGGCTGACCCATATAAGTAGAAGCCAAAGGACAACTTGCAATGATGTGATCTGCCCAAAACCTGTGAACACCGGAGTTGGAGTTTGTACCATATTCACCGAATGGGTTAAAGTGTCAAGCTTTCTTTTTATTGTCTCCATCCATGCTATCACCACTATCACTACATCGACATTATATATACTAGTTGTTCTCCTCTAGATTTCCCTGTCGCTTGGCCACTTCGATTGATTTTATGCTATTCTCTCATATAGCTCATAAGCATCATCTACATCCATGGTCATTATCAATGCTCCCACTAAAGCATCTACCTTTTTTTTTAACTCTTGATGTATGCCATAGTGAAAGAGACTGGAGCTTCCTTAGGAATGTCTAGGTTTGGAAATTTTATGTACAAACTCTTGTACCGTTCCTATGCTTCTGGACAGCTCTTGAGGTCTTTCTGTTTAAATGTATATATTTCATTTCGAATTTGATGCACTCGAGTTGGTAGGTAGAACTTTATGGTGAATTTTTGAACCATATCCTTCCATGACTGTATGTTCCCAAGAGGTTGAGAAAATATCCATGTTTTAATGGCCTCCTACAGAGTGTGAGGAAATAGATGAATTCGAAATGCATCTCGTGACCTTTCCTCATGGCTGATCACTTTGCACTTCATGATAAATGCCTGTATGTATTCATAAGGATTCTTTGTGGCCTTCCCATAGAACCTGATGTCATAGTGATTCTGGAAAAGATCTATGACATCTGATCGAATGTGAAAGTTAGCCTATCCAAAGGACAGGTAGATGATCGGAGGTTGAACTGGAGCTAGCATTGGATTAACATAATCTTCCACTAATACCGGCTAAGCAGGAGGTGGTTATCTTGAACTTGATTTTGAATGCCAACCACTACCCTTGCTCTTTTCTATTCTCTTCGACATTCTTGAAGGTCCCTTCGATCCAGGATCTGTAGGAAGGATCTCGATCTCATTGAGATTTTACATAAACTAGTGGTCCTTGTACATTGCTAACAATTTTCAGCCTCAGACAAGCATATAACAAGCCTTGTACATTGCTAATCAAAGATTCATCAAATTTTCCTTTTTGGTCCTTGAATTTTTTTATTATTATATGTTACAACTCCAAAAAAAAAATAAATAAATAATAATAATAATAATAATAATAAAACGTGCTTAAAAAGATATTGTGCAAGGTGCATTTTTACTTTTAGGATTCAAATAAA